CAGGCTGGCCTCAAACTCAGAGATCCTCCTGCCTCTGCCTCCCAGTGCTGGGATTGAAGGCGTGCGTCACCATGTCTGGCTTCTCTTCTTTTTAATCAAGAGAGCAAACCATTTTGGAGATTTCAAATGGCAGGTTAGATAAGAATCAGTAAGGAGCCGGGCGGTGGTGGTGCACGCCTTTAATCACAGCACTCGGGAGGCAGAGGCAGATGGATCCCTGTGAGTTTGATGGCCAGCCTGGTCTACAGAATGAGTTTCAGGACAGCCAGCGCTACACAAAGAAACCCTGTCTTAAAATGAATAAATAAATAAGAAAAGAAGAGAGAAGGAATCAGTAAGAGGCCTCTAGTGGGCTTAGAGTGATGACCCAATGGTTAAGAGCACTGGCTGCTCTTCCTAAGGACCCAGGTTCAGTTCCCAGCACCCACATGACAGCTAACAACCATTTGTAATGTAGTCCAGAGGAGGTGACGCCCTCCTCTGGCCTTTATAGACACTGCACATGTGGTGCACTGTCATACTTGGAGGCAAAACATAAAATAAAAATAAGAATTTTAAAGACTCTAGCTAGGCACAGGGGTGTGTACCTGTAATCTCAGCTCTCAGGCTGAGGCGTTAGAAGGTTCTGGAGATCAAGCCAGCCTGAGTTACATAGAGAGACCTTGCCTCAAAACAACAGCAACTTAAAAAAATCTGTTCCGAAGCAAAGCCAGATGATCTGGAGGACCCTGGAGGGAAAGTCCAACAGCTGCAGACCAAAGCAAGCCCGACTTCCCTGGGGCTAACTGCCGACTTCTCTTACCTCCAGGTGGTGTGTAAAAAGTACAGAGGCTTCACTATCCCAGAGGCATTCCGTGGAGTGCATCGGTACTTGACCAATGCTTACGCTCGGGAAGAATTCGCCTCCACCTGTCCAGATGACGAGGAGATAGAGCTGGCCTATGAGCAGGTGGCCAAGGCCCTGAAATGAACGCGCTTTTAAGTCTCTTTCACCCACTCTGTGCTCTCCATAGCTCTGGGAGGCTAATGGACACACTCCGGAACAGCCACTGGTCGGGAAATCCGGGGCGCTTGTGTAGGGCTGAGGGAGAAATGGGGTAAAGGACAGGTGACGAGATTTTTATTGTGGGGTGGGGTGGGTAGGACAACGTATTTCGGTAATAAAATACAGAATGAAAATCTAGTGGTGTTTTTTACACAAGGAGGGCTTAAAGAGTAGTGCGCACGAAATGAGGGGAGGGTCAACGATCTTAATTAAGCTCAGGGGATCTGCCAGGAATTAAGGAGGGGAGTGTTTGTACCGGGGCTGCCATGTTTTGCATCCGTCCATTAGAGGGCTGTTTTGTAGTCCACGTCTTGTTTGCAGCCCCACCGCCAGGGCCAGCCGGATCTGAGTGGGCCTGGGCAGCGAGCGCTCTTGGGGCGGTGCCGGAGCTGGGGCGGGGGCGGGGGGCTCGGTCCGGGAGGAATGGGCGCGGCCTAGCAGGGCGGAATGGGCGTGGTCTCGGGAGGTCCCGCCCCGTCCCGCTTAGACAATGCCCCGGAGCCGCCAGACCATCGCGCCCCCGCCCCATCGCCGAATGTGAGCTCGCCTACCCGGGGAACCCCTCAAAAGCCCAAGCTCCTAGTCTCCCCCAGCTTGAAGACTCAGCCTCCCATCTCCATCAACTCTCTCCTCTGGGGGTGGGGCCAAGGCCGAAATCACAACGCTGCGTGAGTGGAGGTGGCCGCTGGTGAGTCTGGAGAGGGGGCTGTCTCCCAACCGTACGGAGAGGCTGGAGTTTGGGGGTGCTGGGGCGGTACGTGCACCGGACGGAGTGTGCAGATAACCTGCACTTGGACGAGGAGCTGGGCGGGGTAGACTTTGGTGGGAGATGGACAGGGGGGTACCGAGTTCTGAAGCCAGGAGTGGTTCCACGCCCCCCCCCCCGCCCCCGTTTCCCCCCGCCTTCCGGATTTCGCTTAAGACCTCTCCCAGTCCTCCGGGACTAAGTCTGGTTTATACTGGGTCGCTCGAAGGGCAGCGTGACCAGCCGGGGTGGAGAGGGAGGATGCTTAACTCCTTAGACTCTAATTTTCCCGGTTTGCCCCTCTCCTCCTCTCTCCTTCGAGCGTTCAGGACTCCCACATCCCAGGCCCCGATTCACTACCCAGCTTTCTTTTCCCGTCCCATAACCTCTGAGGGTCCCTGGCAGGACTTCGGGTCCCCCCTGCTGCGAGCAGCTGAGGGTTAAGGGGGCGGGGCCGCCGCATTTTTGGGGAGTGAGCGCATCCTAGCGGCTGCCAGGAGGGGCGCGGGGCAGGGACCTAGCGGAGCCCCCGAGCAGGGGCAACAGGTGTTTGGGAGATTAAGGATCCAAGTCTTGTTCTTTGGGCGCCTCTTAAAGCAGATTCCTGCTGAAAGGAGGCTGAGCGGGGGTCCACAGGGAAGGAAGGTCGGGAGGGGGTGGGGCAGAGTGGGAGGGGCGCCTGGAGACGGCCGGAGGAAGACCCAGGAGCTTTTAACACTCCCCCTTCTCTCCTCTGCACGTCTTTCTCTGCTACCCCCTTCCCCCTCTTCTTCTCTCAGACAAGTGAAGTAAAGAGAAAACAGAAATCGGCTTGGCTGGAAGGGGCGTCTGTGTGGATGGGATGGGGACGCCGGGGGGAGGGGCTGGGTCGCTGTTCCCATGCCCTGATCCGGGGTGTCCCCGAGAGCCTGGCATCCGGGGAGGGCGCGGGGGCTGGTCTTCCATCTCTGGACCTGGCTAAAGCTCAAAGGGAGCATGGAGTACTAGGAGGTAAACTGAGGCAGCGACTAGGGCTGCAGCTGCTTGAACTGCCTCCCGAGGAATCACTGCCGCTGGGACCACTGCTTGGTGACACCGCCGTGATCCAAGGAGACACGGCCCTAATCACGCGGCCCTGGAGCCCAGCGCGTAGGCCCGAGGTGAGTGGCAGGGTGCGGGTGTGTTGGAGGACAGGGTGGCGCGGGTAGGGGTGGCGGTCGTGGGGAGGAGGCTGGATGTCTGGGATTGGCAGGAAATAGGGAGTGAGGATGTCTCAGCCCGCTCTCTCTTCTCCAAGGTTGATGGAGTCCGCAAAGCTCTCCAGGACTTGGGGCTCCGGATCGTGGAGATGGGGGACGAGAACGCGACGCTGGATGGCACCGACGTCCTCTTCACAGGTGAGGCCACGGGTGGTCAGCACTCCCGGGGGAGGGGCACTTGGCACAGGGAAGCCGAGTTTGGTAGACTAGGCGATCTCAGGTCTTGATTCCAAACTCACTCTGGCCTTCAAACCTGCGTGTCCTCCCGGGGTTCAGGCCGGGAGTTTTTCGTAGGCCTCTCCAAGTGGACCAATCACCGAGGAGCTGAGATCGTGGCAGACACGTTCCGGGTGAGGAACCTGAGCAGCTTGGGGAGGGAGCGTGGCCAGTGTGCCAGAGGGCTTGATCTGGGCTCCTTACTACCCCGAATCCCTTCGCTCTCCCTAGGACTTCGCTGTCTCCACCGTGCCGGTCTCGGGAGCCTCGCACCTGCGCGGCCTCTGCGGCATGGGGGGACCCCGCACTGTGGTGGCTGGAAGCAGCGACGCTGCCCAAAAGGCTGTCAGGGTGAGGCGGGGCAGGACTGGTGGAGAAGGTGTGGCCAGTGTGGGCGTGGCTCAGCTGGGGCGGCCGGGAATCTGGCTAGCTCTGGGACTCGCCCTCAGCCCTTGTCCTTACTAAGACGTCTAACACCAAAGGACACCCTAGTAAACAAGGGGTGCAGAAGAAACAAGAGTTGGGGAGGGCTTGCAAAAGAAAGCGGCGGCTAAAGTGCCCGAGACCTTGAGACCAACAGTGTCAATATCTCACACATGTAACCCTTGTCCTGAGCCTTTTCTTTGAGGTAGGTCGGGCGGACTCAGCTGTGGACTCAGAACTCAGCACCCTCCTTCTCTCTCCAGGCAATGGCAGTGCTGACAGATCACCCCTACGCCTCTCTGACCCTCCCAGATGACGCAGCTGCTGACTGTCTTTTTCTGCGTCCTGGGTTGCCTGGTACCACTCCTTTCCTCCTGCACCGTGGAGCTGGGGACCTGCCCAACAGCCAGGAGGTGAGGGAGGGGCAAACTCCACCGACCAGAGAAAGAAGTCTGTCTTTCTCAGTGGCAGAAAGGACAGGAGCCTTTCTCCAGAAGTCTGGGTGGGGCCACTAGGAACTGGCTGGAGGGGACCGCGACTCTGGTATCAAAACACCTTCGGTGTCCTCCCCACAGGCTCTGCAGAAGCTCTCTGACGTCACCCTGGTACCCGTATCCTGCTCAGAACTGGAGAAGGCTGGTGCTGGCCTCAGCTCCCTTTGCCTGGTGCTCAGCACACGCCCCCACTGCTGAGGGCCTGGGCTTGGGGCACCAACTGGTCAGGAATAGAGCTGTATAGGGGTATAGGGGGGTAGAATCAGGTAATAGAGGATGGGAAGTAGGTAGTAGTGGGGAGACGCTCCAGGACAAAGGAGGAGTTAGTGTGGAACAAAGGAGCCATTGGGTGAGTCCTCTCTGTCAAAACCAATAAAATAAAATTGGCCTTTTAGGTAGGGTTGTGGCTGATGTCTCTCATTGGGACAAAGGGATGGGTTGGGACTGAAACCTGAAGTTAGGTCCAGTGCTGGGGAGGAGGACTCTTATTTATTTATTTATTTATTTATTTATTTATTTATTTATTTATTTATTTAATGGTTTTTCGAGACAGGGCTTCTCTGTGTAGTTTTGTGCCTTTCCTGGGACTTGCTTTGTAGACCAGGCTGGCCTCGAACTCACAGAGATCCACCTGGCTCTGCCTCCCGAGTGCTGGGATTAAAGGTGTGTGCTGCAGCCGAGGCCACCACCACCGCCCAGCAGGACTCTTTAATTTAAAAACCCTCCTCTTTGTGCTCCCTGGCTCACTCCTGGCTCTGTCACAGGGCTCAGGTACAAAGAGGAACAAGAGACTGTTGTGGGGAGTGTATCCAGGGCAGAAAAGGGATTGCATGCATGGGTGGATCACTTTCTGAATTCACCTAAATGTCAGATGATTCAGACACTGGTGGATTACCTGTCCACCTTTATTTGATAAAGAAGAACAATGTTTTCTGAGACACTTATTCGTGTCGTATTGAGGCTTAACAGTGAGTCAAAAGGGTTAGTCCCCTGATGTCGGGAGACTTGTAGCTCCTCACAGTCCTTTCTAAATTGGCAGACAGGTTAGAATGGGATGCTTTTCAGGAGTCTGTTTCTATGAGAAGAAATCAGGGGGTTTCTAGAGCATCAAATTTTGTTCAGGAGTGGGCAAGCATTTGGTATAAGGATCAATATCCCAGGAAAGGCTACATTTGAGTGGAATCCAGGCAGGAAGTAAGGAAGAGGGAAAAGGAATCCAGAAGATGGAATGTATTTCACCGGACCAATGAATATTACAGGGCGAAAACTGTGGAGAATCTAAGGTGGGCATGTGTACACAGGAAACGACAGAGAAGCCTAAGAGTACACAAAGTGCTGCAGCACCCGTACCCAAAGCCGAAGCCTCAGGAGAGGGCCAGTGGTGGATGCTCGGGAGGGCAGGAGGGTCAGAAGGGAGTGTGGGTCACCCCGGAAGCAAAGGATGAAAGTACATTCTGGTGGTAGCTATAGACCTGGAGACAGGTTCAGATTTGACAGTGACACTAAGACAAGACCTTGTGTGGTGGTGCGTGCCTGCAATCGAAGTAACCCCAGCACTGAAGGTGGAGGCAAGGGGATCAGGAGTTCAAAGCCAGCCTCAGCTACAGGAGAGCCTGTCTCTAAAGGAAAGATGTGTGGGGAGCTTTATAAGTCCCTGTGTGGGAGAGGAGTTGGTGTGCCCTGACTCCCGAGTTTCTGGCTTGGGCAACTTGGGTTGGTCATAAGAATGCAGAGGAGGGCCCAGGAAGAAATGACTGAGTCAGATTTGATATGCCTTGTGCAAAATGCCCGAGGCTAGCTGGACAGGGTGTACTAGGACTGAGATCTGGGTTGGAGGGAAGGGGGCTGAGGATTGGCTAGCTTCCTAGAAGAGGAGTAAGGAGGAGGAAGAGGCAAACAGAATGGCCGGGCGTCTAGAAGAGAGGTTTCACAACAAAGTAAATCAGGGTTTAAAGAGGGCTGATCTAGGGCCAAGTCAGTGAATGTTATCTTGTGGACTAGGACATCACTGGCAACCTTAGACGGTAGATGAGCAGCCACAGCCAATGAGCATAGGAGTGGGTGTGAGGCAGGAAAATGCCGGTGTATGCCTTAAGATCAAAATGCTTGTTTGGAAAGGGAGAGTGAACAGATGGGATATCTATTTGGGAGTTAAAACTAAAGCAGACGGCTTGGTCATCTTTAGAGAGGTCATCAGTGGTGAAGGAAAACTGTTACAGGAGAGATGGGAGTGGCTGAGAAAAACCAAGAGACTAGTGCCTCTGTCCATGGTGCCTTCCCCCTCCAGCTGAGGAGGTGATAGAGAGAAGGGAAGCCCCGGATTGGAAGGTTTGGAGAGCAAGAGCTTCCCTTCAAACTACAACCGCATAGACAGTGGAGGCATCGCCAGGAACCACTGTGGACATCCGGCGGTGCCTCCCGAGGACGGAGTGGTCCAGATCAGCATAGTGCAGGCTCTGAAGGAGGTAGAGGGGGAAGGCAGATGGTCTCAGCAATCTGACCCCTTAGCTTAGAATCAGTACACCCACACATCACCACCCCCTCGCCCGGTGGTCAGAGGAGACTCTGTAGCAAAGTCTGAGCTCCAACCCCCTGCTTAAACCTCCAGAGTGCTGGGATTACATGGCTGCTCCACAACAAGCTAGCTGGGCTTCTTTTCTGCGCCCCCTTTCCGCCTGGATTCCGGCCTGCCTCCTTCCTCTCTCCAGGCCCTTACCGGCTCCTGTTCCAGGTGGCCTGAGGTCTTGGACTCCTGTTCTAAAGGCTGCTGCGGCTCAGCATTTATGACTGGAGCTAAGCGGGAGGGAGGGACCGCTGAGGGATGGAGAGAAAACGACCAACTTTGTCTGCTACCGGCAAGGACTCAGACTCAAGAAATCAGGGTTGGGGGTTGTTCGGGTAGGAGAGGGAAAATGGGGGGCAGTTAATCTCACCAAATGCGGGGAGTGGTCCAGGCGGGGGCGGGGGCAGGGGCGGGTGCCTGTAAGGAAGTCCTTGGAGAGTCATCCAACTCGTCCCACTGGTTCCTCGGCCCACAGGCGGCGCCAATGAGAACTATGCAAACTGCTGTCTCCGACCAGCCAAACAACTCGGGCTCCTCCGGAACCAGGTCCCGCCCACTCTCTGGGCCTCCTACTCCAGCCTGTAGCCTAGCACCTAAGGGCTGACCTCTCGCCCTCTTTAAACCAACCCCAAGCCTTCAGATACTTCTGGTTCTTTGCTAAAGTTAGGGTTCTGCCCCACCTCTTTCCGCCCACCCCACCCCGCCCCCGCCCTGACTGGTTACACCCTGTATTAAACCAGGCTCCGCCTCCAGTGCTCACCTGCGCCGCCACCAGACCAAGCCGGAAGCACCCAGTCCCAGCACCAGCCCAATGCCCAGCAGAGGAATCAGGACCTTGGGATACTCGGAACCTGGGGAGATGCGCGGTGCAGGGAGGGATACCGAGGTCAGGGGTACGACCACAGGGTCCCACTAGATCTCCCGCTCTACAAGACTCCGCCCCGCATTTTGTCCAGGGTGTGTGTCCAAACCAAGTGCCCCTCTGCATCTGAGCCTCGACCTACCGTGGGTAGATCCCGGAGCCCTGCAGTCTGCCTTGTCCCCCAACACCTGAAGCACTGTGCGGCTCTCGTTCTCTTGGTGTCCTTTGCAGAAGAAGGTGCCAGAATCGCCGGCGCTCAGCAGTAGCTCTAGCTCCTTGATACTAGTGTCCAGGAAACGCAGGCGGCCGGAGAAGAGCTCCAGCACCAATGGGGTCCCGCTCGACGAGAACCACACGATCTTACGGCGCCCTTTGGACAGGCCCTTGCACGCCGGGAAACTAGGCGCCCAAGCCCAGCGGGCGGGCTCTAAGACATCTTTGCAGGAAAGGTTCACCCGGTCCCCAGGGTTGCCCTTCAGAGAACCTAGGGGAGGTGGAGGAAGAAGGTGAAGGCAGTTAGGTGGTTAGGGCCACTTTGCCAGCCTAGATCTCTCTCTCTCTCTCTCTCTCTCTCTCTCTCTCTCTCTCTCTCTCTCTCTCTCTCTCTCTCTCTCTCTCACACACACACACACACACACACACACACACACACACACACAAACACACACTTTCCTCTACTCTGCCCTTCTACCATTCTGGATCTTATATAAAGCCCCCTCCACAGGCTACCCTAGTCTGTCTGTCTTGGCCCATCACAACTTCCCAGGGATGGCCTACCCTCGGGGTCCCCCTGGACCCTTGAGAGCAACAGAGGCAGCAGCTGCAGAACCAGGGCCATGGCTGGGATGTGGTAGGCAGAGGCCAGAGTGAATCAGCACTGAGACCGGAGAGGGAAGTGGAGGGGCAGAGATGGGGATACTGCGGGACCGGGGGGCTCAGATAAGAGCCAGAGTGAGGCCACCAATTCCTGGATCCCTCTAGGAATCCTCACAAACTAACTAGCAGTCTTCAAATCTTTTAAAACTGTTTAAAATTTGTGATCAAGATATTTTGCAAAGGCTCTATCTACACTTTTTTGCAAACTAGCATGACCCCAAGTACCACAAATTCTGAAGCTCAGCTTCCTGAGTTCAAATCCTGATTTTGCCACACAGTAGCTGGGTAATGTGAGCAAGTCACTTCTGGCTGTTCCCTCATCAGGAAAATGGAGATTAAAGCATGTGAGAACCAAATAAACACATGGAGGATGCCTAAAATAACAGATGACATACAGGAATGCTCGGTGCATGACATTGTTATTATCTCTACTCTTATCTTAGTTCCTATCTCACCTCTGGGTGCCCATGATGCTCCTCCTCCCAAGCCCAAGCCCAAGCCCAGTGGTATGAGCGCATCCTTAGCTATTTGGTGTGGTCCTTCCGGATACACAGCCTCAGTCCCCTTCTATGACAGAAGCCTTCCATGATGTCACAAACCTTTTCCTGTGGCTGAGCATCAGTTGGAAGACAGAGTGGGGGAATGAATCTACATTAATTCAGTCTGTTTCATCAATTTCTGCCTGCATGTCCCTGATCAATGTCTCCCTACCACCAGGGACCCAAAGTTGATGATCAACTCAGGCTACAACCCACTGCTCACATCCTAGGAACTAACAGGAGCTAGCACTGTGGCTGTTTAAGTCACAGAGGCTTTTCTGATGCTCCTTCAGAGCAGTGGGGCCCTCAGTTGGGGGTCCTAAAACCAAGATCCAAAATGGAGTTGGCCACTAGTGACACTTGTCCTCTCCCATCCCCCCCCCTTGTCTCCCCTCCCTACCCAGGCCTGCTTGGACCCTCCCCACCTCTGGCCTTTCTTTCTGGTTAGCTAGGTGTAAATTGGGAGGGAGGTACCACAGAGGGCAGAGCCTGGAAGGGAGGGGCCTTTGGGATTATAAATTCCAAAAAGGACGCTCAACTCTCAGACCTGGCTCCCTGAGAATCTACTGCCAGCTTCTGGGGCTGTGGACATTTTCAGCACCCTCGCCATGAAACACCTGCTGCTGCTCACCCTGTCTGCCCTGCTCTGCTGCTGGGTCTCAGGTGAGTGCCAGGGGGCCCCACCCCAACCCTACCCAATACTCCATATTTCCCTCTACTCAGGACCCCAAGAAGCTCCAACCCTACCTGGCTTAGTCTCCCCAATGCCTCTAGGATTAGATGTCTGAGTATGATGGGGGGTGCCTTGCTCCATTTTTCTTTTTCTTTCTCTCCCTACCCTCTCTTTCCTTTCCTCCTTTTCCTCCCTTCATTTCTTTACTTGTCCTCTTTTGCGGGGGGCAAATTCATGTGTTGTTAGATCCTAGTTAGCAGAAGGAACTCCACTCTGCCCTGAGCCGCCACCCACAATTTCCTGAGGCTTAACTGCAACCCCCCCAGGCCCCCTCCTGCAGATGTCTAGAATGAGGGTACACCACAAACATCCCACCCCCTTCTGACTGGCTGGCCCAGAGCCAGCCACCAGACCACAGAACTCCCTGATAGCTGAAAGTGTTCCACCACGGAAAGTCCCCAGCCACTTCTCCCCCATTACATTATGAATGGATGGGACTCTTTGTGGTTTTTCCCTTTAAAACTGACTCCTGCTCCTGCCTCAGAGTTGTGGTCTGGATCTCAAAACCTGGGGCTTCCCTGATATATCAGGGTTTTGTTTTTAATTTTTGGCTTGCTTGAACCCTGTCTTTGTGGTAGATTATTCTCAGATCCAAAGCTGGCCTTGAACTCCTGAACTTCCTGTCTCTACCTCCTAAATGCTGGGATTTACACAAGTATCACACCTGGCTCTTTGGTCCATTATTAAGGACCAGGTCTCCACTGCCATCTTCTCCTAGCCCCCATATTCTCCTGGCCCACTCTTCTTACCTGCTCCAGCACTAGGTCTCTTATTTCCGACCCGGTGTGCTCCCTTCCTGGACACTCTAACCCTCGGGACAGCCCCATTCCAACATGCAGTTCTCCAGGATCTAGCATAGCAGCCTTCGATCACCTTCTGCACTGAGCAGAGTGCTCACACAGAAACGCCAGGATCCCACTCCACCCCTCACTGAGGTGCTCAGCAATAGCCCTTCTTAGCTTGTTCCTATACCCCCCCAAGGGATGCAAAGCCTTCTGGGTGGTTCCATTGACTGCATACAGCCTTCCCAAGAATCAGAAACTTTCCCCGAGCCTTCTAAAGAGAAGATGCCAGAGCACTTACCCCTAAAGTGAGATGGGTTTCCTGGAGGCACACTAAGCTCCTCCACCCTTGAGCTGACCATTCTTTCATGGAACTTTGCATGCTCAAACCTGAAGTTGGCCAACACAGGAATCCTGGCATGCCACTTCTGCACCCACTCTCCACTTTTGTTAGGTGATAAGACAATCCAGTGATATGCCTCACAGGTATTATCCCTTCTTCCATAGAGTGAGAGCCAGAACAGTCGTAGAAAGGATCCATTCAGGACTGATTCTTCCCAAGCTCTTGGTGGAGGTCTAGTCAACTTTTAAAGCTTGTCACAGGTGGCTTTCTTACAGCCTCAATTCCATGCCATCTCTGAAGGCACTGCTAACTTCTACACTTTATAATTTCTTCTCTCTCTCTCTCTCTCTCTCTCTCTCTCTCTCTCTCTCTCTCTCTTTCTCTCTCAAGTCTCATCCTCTTTCCTAACCTCTACTCTCTCTGTCTCCAAGCTTTCTCCATATCCCAGCCATCCCTAGCTCCAAGTTTTTGTTAGTACAATTCTTGACTCATCCCAAACAGGCTGGGTGGAGGAAGGTATGTAGGGTGTGTAGTTTCCACACAAAACAAATGCCTCCGCACAACGCCCACTTTGCATCCACCTGCTCTGTCCCTGTGAACAAAGCAGGTCAGAGACACTGGTTGCTTAGTGGGCAGTTCTTCACCCTTCCCCTAACTCAACTTATCCTCAGGTGACTGGGACATCCCGTCACCTCAGCCTGACTTCTTATCTCCCCAGCTGACACTAGATGTCATTCCTGCTACAAGGTCCCTGTGCTGGGCTGCGTGGACCGCCAGTCCTGTCGCCTGGAGCCAGGCCACAGATGCTTGACAACAAATGTGTACCTTGGTAACATCCCCTTTTCCAGGAGGGAGGGGCCAGGTGGAGGGTGCTATCTGGGACTGAAGCCCATCCAGGGCTAGGACAGAGAGTTAACAGTGGAGACAGCATGTGGCCCAAGATGATTCTGTGCCAGGCACTGACCTGCATCTCTACATTGTGCTTGTGAATGCTTGTGACTGACAACCCTATGAAATGGGTGCTGGTGCTAGACGCAGGGATGTGGCTTACACTCAGGAAGGGAGATTAGACTGAAAAGCGAGAAAAAGGGTGGGGCCAAGCGACTTTGGGAAGGGAGAGTAGCCAATGGACACAGGCAAGCCAATGCCTACTCCTGATCTCTTCTCTGTTGGCTCCTACCTCTCTAGGGAAGATGTGGGTTTTCTCTAACCTGCGCTGTGGCACACCAGACGAGCCTTGTGTGGAGGCTTTCAACCAAACCAACCGCAGGCTGGGCCTGAACTACAACACTACCTGCTGTGACAAGGACAACTGCAATAGCCCAGCTCCGAGGCCCACGCCCGCCCTGGCTCTTGTCTCCCTCACCTCCTTGGCTGGCCTTGGCCTCTGGTTATTGCACTGAGATTCACTCCATGGCTGTGTTCTTGCCATTTGCTGTAGCCTGAGCCTTTCTCCCCATGTCCTTAGAACTCCAGCTTTCCAGAATGTTCTCCCTTCACCCCTGGCTCCTCCTCTTCTGAAGATCATTTCCCTGTTCTTGTCCCACTTGTTTCGTGGGACAGTGCCTAGAGTGATCTTTCTAGTCTCTTCTCTCAGCTGGCACTCTCCGCTCCATTTTCCACCAAGTCCTTTCCCATTTCCTTGGAGAACACTCTACCTCCTTCACTGGCCACCGCAAGGGCTCCCTACTTGGATGCACGCTGATGTGACCCTGGGATGTGGATCTAGAAGGGCCACTGTCCTGTCTCCAAAACGACCCGCTAACCTCACTGCATGGGGTTGATTCGCCAAACCCTCTGCTCATCTCTTTCCATCATGAGAAATAAATGTCGGCGTCTGATAAATGGTGTGTTTATTGTCAGGGGATATACATGCAAATCTGGGCGTGGTGGCTTTCCTTTGTGATCTCAACAGTTGGGCAGTAGAGGCAGAAGAATCAGGTGTTCAAGACCATCCTTGGTTACATAGTAAGTTCAAGGCCAGCATGAGCCGAATATGCTCCTGTCTCAAAAAGAGAGGCAGGCGTGGCTCTATAGCCTTTTAATCCCAGCACTCAAGAGGCAAAGACAGATCTCTGAGTTTGAGGCCAGTCTGGCTTCTACCTGGCAAGTTCCAAGCCAGCCAGGACAGCAAGGATGAGAGAGTGAGAGAGAGAGAGAGAGAGAGAGAGAGAGAGAGAGAGAGAAGGAGGAGGAGGAGGAGGAGGAGGAGGAGGAGGAGGAGGAGGAGGAGGAGGAGGTGGTGGTGGTACAGGGCCCCTCTCCATGGAAATTTCACTCTCAACCCCACCCTTCTTCTTACCTAAGAGTTCTCCAGGGAGTTTCCCTACAAGGCTGGGCTGACCAAACGGAAGAGCAGGTTTTTCAAGCCTTTCTCCTTTCCAATACCTGAGGGTGGCGCCTGGCACTAGTGTTTGGAGAAACAGCCCTTATCCTAAATTTAGACTGCACCCTGCCAAGAAGCAGGTGCAGCCTAGCTTGAGGGCGCCCCAGAAAGGGTAGGAAAGGCATTTGCAGACAGAGCTGCCTCTCATGTCCACCTCCTAGGTGGCTTTCTAACTGGGTTACTCAAGCAACTTTCCTTTCTCAGTTCAAAACAGTCCTATTGGGAGCTGAGTTATGAAGTACGGAAGGGAAAACAAACCCAGACAGCCAGGATCATGGCGTCCTGGTAACCCCCCACCCCACTCAGCCCAGGGCCCTTCCACTCAGTGACCCCCACTGTGAAGGAAGAGTCTCCCTAGCAGCAGGTTCCAGGAGCCACTGAAGACAGATTCTCTATTGTTTTGAGGGGTGTCATTGGATAAGGACTGCTGATAGGTCTACTGATGGACTGGTAACTGAACAAGCGGTCAGATAACCCACATATTATCCCTTCAGCAGCCTTTTTTTTTCTAGCCATGGCCCCAGAGGCCTGTGCTGCCCCCTCCCTTGCTAATGCGGCTTCCCCTGCTGGACAGGCGGGGATTTGCAAGCCCAGCTGGCCCTTATTTTCTTTTTTTTTTTTTTTTTTTTTTTTTTTTTTTGGTTTTTCGAGACAGGGTTTCTCTGTGTAGCTTTGCGCCTTTCCTGGAACTCACTTGGTAGTCCAGGCTGGCCTCGAACTCACAGAGATCCGCCTGGCTCTGCCTCCCGAGTGCTGGGATTAAAGGCGTGCGCCACCACCGCCCGGCTGGCCCTTATTTTCAACAGAAGAGTCATAGATGCTGGGAGGAGAGAGGCACACACCTTTGATCTCAGCACTCAGGAGGCAGAGGCAGGCGGACCTCTGTGAGTTAGAGGCTAGCCTGGTCTACAGAACAAGTTCCAGAACAGCCAGGGCTACACAGAGTAACCTTGTCCCAAAAAACAAACAACAAACAAACAAAAATGGATAGAATTTAATAGTCAGCTCTAGAAGAGTCCATACATTTTAATGGCGCACAAAGGAGTGCCTATTTTCTCACCTTGGATGTTCAGCTCCCTCGGTCCCTTCCCTACCCTCAATCCCACTATCTGCTCGCTCTATAGTCACGGCAAGAGCCAGGCCAGGGTGGTAACAGCTGCCGCCAAGATACAGGAAGGGGTCACGGAGCTCACCACGGCGCCGTTGCACAGGTCTCCGAAGCAGCAGTTTTTTTGGGTTGTGAAAGTCACACCTCCCACTGACTCTATGTCCACTTGGTTGCAATGGTGGGTGGCCACACAGGCGGGGTGGTGCTGACCCAAGGTCACGGAGGCTGAGAGAAGGAACGACACAGGGTGTTGAGCTCCTGACTTCAGGACTTGCCCGCCGCCATGGAAGACGCAGGTTCCCAGGACTTAAAGGGACACTCTGTCCCCTCAAAAAACACCTCTCTGAAACCAAGGCATTGGAGCCAGCAAGTCCACCTAGGGCAGTGATGCTAAGGTGTTCCAAGGACCTAGGACCATTCCTGCCTCAGCCTCAACATGTGAAAATTGCAGCCAAATACAAAAGGGACAATCTATAAAATAAGGTATCATTGTGAAGTTAATACAGCTGAAGTTGGACACAGTGGTGCATGCCTGTCACACTCAGTAGGCTGAGGCAGGAAGATTGCCAGGAGTTCAAGGCCAGTCTGATCAACACATTGACTTAAAGGTAACCCTGGGCTATAAAATGGAGACCCTGTACCCCAAAAATAGCAAATAGAGCTGGGAATGTAGCTTGCCTAGGGCACAAAAGTCCTGGACTTGACCTGCAGTACTAAACTAAACAGGACATGGCAGCACACGCCATGTGGAGAGAGGAGGATCAGAAGTTCAAGGTCATCCTAGGAGTCATATCATGTTTACGGCCACCCTGGGACATGTGAGACCCTGTCCTAAAAATAAGCAAAAAAAAAAAAATGTAGAGCTGGAGAGAGCGTAATGGTTAAGGGTGCTTGTCGCCCTTCCAGAAGGCCGAGTTCTCACACCAGGCTCACAACCATCTGTACCACCTCTAACCAGCTGTAACTCCAGAGGATCTGATACACTCTGCTGGCCTCTGAGAACACCCCCACACATGTGGCATACACTCAGACAGACATACTCATACACAAAAATAAATCTTTTAAAAATAATAATAAATTGGGGCTGGAGAGATGGCTCAGTGGTTAAGAGCACTGACTGCTCTTCCAGAGGACTTGATTCAGCTCCCAGTACCCACTTGGTGGCTCACAGTCACCTATAATTCCAGTTCCGGAGAATATCACCCCCTCTTCTGATCGCCAAAGGCAGCAGGCACACCTGTGGTACACAAACACACCTGTAGAAAAGTGCTCACGCACATAAAATAAATTTCAAAATCTAAAAAAATAAATAAATAAATCACTTTAAGCAAGACACCTGCCTTTAATCTCAGCACTCAGGAAGTAAAGGAGGCAGATTTTTGTGAGTTCAAGTCCAGCCTGGTCTATGTAGTGAGTTCCAGGCTAGCCAACACTAACTACACAGTGAGATCCTGTCTCCAATCAACCAACCAATCAAGCAAGCAAGCAAAAAATACAAACCAAACAAACAAAATAATCACTTTGAAATAAATAAAGTCAATGGGGTATTCTGCTTTGAGTTTGGGCCACTGAATCTAAGTCCAGGTTCGTTAGCATCATGCTGTCATGCTCTGATTTTGGTAATGAAATGGAATGTTAGCATCTGAAGAAGCTGGGTAGAAACAGGAACTCTGTGCATTTCTTTTGTAATTTTCCTGTTAAACCAAATGATTTCAAAATAAAACATTAAACACACACACACACACACACACACACACACACACACACACACACACACACACACACACACACAGCCTCTCTCCAGCTCTTATCCAGTCCCTGACAGTTGAAGTTTGGAGTTTGGCTTAACATTTTGACTCTGGTTTTAGGAGACAGTTTCTTCCCTAGTAAGGGCCTATGAGGTTCTTCACGGAGAGCAAGGGGAGAGCCTGAGGCGTGTGGGCTCCTCAAGGCACAGTGCCAGGAGCCAGAAGGGTTAGACCGCCCTAACAGTGGCACCATCTGCCCAGAGCCAGACTGAAGTTGGAAGGGTGGTAGCCCGCAGGGTTGAAGAGGGGGCTTGTTGGAAGCAGTGGGAAGTGGGGGTGGGGGTGGGGACGACAAAGGACTCACGTTGCTTGGCTTGTCCTGGGTTGGGTTTGCGGTCCAGGAAGCCGCAGCGCTCACCCTCACCACAGGTGATCACGGTCTGCTTGCAGGAGTTGCTGGGGCCACCACAGTCATAGCATCGCATGCGGTGTCCTGGCAGGAAAAAAGAGGTACGGGACCCGGCCCTTAGAGGAGCCCTGGCAGAGGGAAGGGCAGGCCTGTGCCAAAGGCATATGAGCTTCCTCCTTACCCAAGGCAGCGCCAAGCAGGGCGCAGAGTAGGATCCCGACCATTCGGGGGTTCATCATGTCTGCTTACACCAGTAGCGCCTCTCCCTCCCGCCCACCCCCCTCTCAGGCTCGACTCTGCCAGCCTTATATCCCCCTTGCCTTGAGCTTTATAGGACAATAAAAAGCAAGGAAAGAGTCTCCCCTAGCTGCACCAGGGCCCCAATGGGGAACAGGGAGGGGCCCCATGGATGGCTCTGAGCGTCCTCTGAAGCCCCAAACGCCTCCATGCTCAGCAGCAGTTCCAGCCGAAGAACACCTGGGGGTCCCTAAGGCCCTTTCATAACCCGCCCTCAAGGGTCTTCCCTTTTCAGTTCCGTATCTGAGGGTTTGATCTTGTTCATCCACATTCCACATGGAATGCAGAAGTAGGTTATGAAAACCCAGTCACCTCTGATTATAACCAGAGTTAAATGAATTCTCAAAAATGTAAAACAATGCCATTCTCTCTGGGCCATCGGAGGCTAATTATTATTTTTCACAAAACTATGTCTTCCTAACATATAATACGCTTGGCTTTTATTTGTTAAATGAATCAAACTATACCTAATTATTTATTTAGCTAGCTGATTGTTGTTGTTTGAGACAGGGCTGGCTTTGAACTTCTGATTCTCCTGCCTCAGCATCTCAAGTACTGGGATTACAGGCATGAATCACCACGCCTGGCTTCAATACCAATTTTAAATGTCCTATTTATTTTATTGTTTAAAATTATATATATTTACCGTGTGTGTGTGTGTGTGTGTGTGTGTGTGTGTGTGTGTGTGTGTGCACGCACGCGCGTTTGCTTGTTGAAGTGGTCTTCCGCATAACCTAGGCTGGCCTGGAGCTCAGCATGTAGTCCAGGCTGGCCGCAAACTTACAGCAATCCTCTGTCTCAGCCTCATGTGTGCTAGGATTGCAGGCATGTGCCATTGCTGGTGGCTTCTTATTTTAATTCCTTTTTTCTTAAGATTTATTTTATGTGAATGAATGTTTTGCTGACATGTAGATATGTGCCCCATGTGTCTGCCTGGTACCACTGGAGCCCAGAAGAATGCATCAAATCCCTGGACCTGGAGTTACAGCCAGTTGTGAGCCACCACGTGGGTGCTGGGAATAGAACTAGAGTCCTTCTGCAAGAGCAACAAGTGCTCTAAACTGTTGAGCCGTCTCTCCAGCCCCTCTTCATTTCTTTTTAAAAGATTTTTATTTAGGCCTGGAGAGATGAGTGATGAGAGATGAGAGATCCGTGGACGAGGGAGTGATGAGAGATGAGAGATCCGTGGACGAGGGAGTGATGAGAGATGAGAGATCCGTGGACGAGGGTGCCGGCTGTTCTTGCTGCACAACTTCTTTCCCCAGGACCCACGGCGAACAGCACAGCTCCAGAGGACCCAGTGTCCTCATGGTCTCGGGGCTTCTGCACTTGCACGCACATATCCATACACAGACACGTACATGTGTACATAGTTAAAAATAAAAAGTCTTAAGAAAAATAGTCAGCCTGGCTTCATTCAATACCAATTTTAAATGTCCTATTTATTTTATTGTTTAAAATTATATATATTTACCGTGTGTGTGGTGTGTGTGTGTGTGTGTTCTTTGACAGTCTTTATTCCCATCCTTTGTGCGCTTGGTTCTCCCTTTCCACGTTCATGTGGTTCCAGGGCTCACACTCAGGCCCTTCGGCTTACACAGCACCTCTACCCACTCAGCTACCTCACCAGCCCATTTTAACTTCTGATAAGGCAAATATTGATAGAATCCATGTGAAGAAAAGATCTCTGAGGTCTTCAGTCATTTTCAGAGTATAAAGAGATGCTGAGATGCCCACAACCCTCTTCCTGGCTGTAGCCCTTCTGGTGAAGTGTTTCTTTTTTTGGTACTCGGAATGGAACCCAGGACCGCCCAGGTGTTGGATAAGCCCTCTAAGGCTGCATGCACTACACTCCCTGTGCCCACCCAGTCTCTTAATTCCTAATGTTCCTTACCACCATTCTCCCATCCTGGAAACTGTCCTGTCTACCTTTTCCAATTCCTTCTCAGAGGAAGGACATACATCAGTCTAGCTTCTGATTAATTCTTTTCTGCAACGTAGTAAAGCCAGGAGGGATAATTATGGGGTAGCAATGTTGATGCTTGGTGGGGGGGTGTGAATCAAAGGGATGTGAGCTACGTGGGGCAGGGCCCCCTCTCAGCTGGGCTTTGTGGGTGGGGTAGGGTGTGGGAATGGGTGGGTGGGCTTTGTTGATACCACATTCAAACAGGACTCTAACATCTAGGGCAGGGAGGGTTCAGAGTGTGACCTTGGGAGGTGGACAAGCTCTGAGGGGATAGACAAAAAACAAGGAGAACTGAGAACAGCTTGAGCAGAGGGAGGGAGGGGAGCAGGAGGCAAGGTGACAGACATAACTCTAGACAGGCAGACAGCGAGGCTGAGTTAGCAAACACTGAGAAAACAGAAGACCCTCAGGGCAAGCATGGGCAGGGATGCAGAGCTGTTGCACCAGGCAGGTGAATCTCTCACTTTTCCACACCCCAGATTATCTCACTGGCTGTTTGTTTAAGAGTTCCTCCCCGTCTTTGGCCAGGTGTGTTCAGGGTGCTGACTCGGGGTGCAGATCACATTCTCCCAGACTGCCGAGCTGGTTCTGCCATGGGCCCCTCCAGCGCCTTTCTCGGCATCCTGTTCTTCTCTGGGGCACTGGGTAAGGGCGGACGAGGGCTGGAGTGGAGAATGGAGAGGGAGCTGACAGAGGTGAAGAGAAATGGGGAGGTATTCGGACCCTGGAAGGCCTGGAAGGAGGGCCTGGTCTATGTAAAACTCTTCTCAAAAGGCCAGGGGCAGGGGGAGCATGTGAGTAACTACCTCTTTGAGTCTCTGACAGTCTTTATTCCCACCCTTTGTCTCTCACTTAACTTTTGCATCTCTCCTTCCTGCGCATGGGTTTTTGCATCACTCTGCGGCCTCCGTTCCGTCCGTCTCTCCTGAAGACTGTATCCCTCTTTCTTCTGCCTGGTTCTGCTCTCCTGCCTTGGCTGTTTTATATTCCTGTCTGCTTCTCCCTCCTCTGGGTGTCCCAGAGGTCTGGTTTTACCTCTTACCTTCTCCTCCCGGAATTGATATCTGCTGACCCAACAGGTCTCACCACTTCCCCAACCAGAGGACGACTCCACTGTTACACCTGCAGCTTTGCTAAGCCCTGCTACCCTGTTCTCACAGAGTGCCAGGAAGATGAGGTGTGTGGCATCAGTGTTGGCACCTCAGGTAAGGTCTGGCCCAATGGCCCTTCTCCTCACCTCTGTCCTTTCTGCCCCCCAACCTCCATGTTCCTCCTTTGTCCCACAGACCAGAAGGAAGAGGTCATCGAGCGGAGAGGCTGCCTCCCTAGGGCCCACTGCCCTCTGCTGGGCCGTGCCACCTACTGGTCACAGCCCTATGCTCTCCGGCACCAGTGCTGTGAGCAGGACCTGTGCAACGCGGCCGCCTCCCTGCCGCGACTCCCACGCCTGCCCCTCACCACCCTGTCACTTCTTGCAGCCATCTTTGCCTGGGGAGTCCATATCTTCCTCTAGCCTGTGAGTCCATGTCAGCCCAGGACTCCGATGTTATCGTGGACCTGGAAACATCTGCACAGATGTTTTTGAGGCATGCTCAAGAATGTGACTTTGTGTAAAAAGCCCTGGCCCTTGAGGGTTTTTATGCCAACACCTCTACAGACCCCCTCCTAAGACCTGATTCCTACAGCTGGAGTTTCCGATCCCAGCATGAATGTGTCCAGAACCTCGCCTCATAAGAAACACCCTCCCCACCCCATCCCCCGGCGCTGTCTTTTCTCTAGGTGTCCCAGGTCAGCTACCCTGAAGGAGCCCTGGGTCCCAGGTAAAGGGACAGAAGTGGCCTGGGACTGGTGAGGGGTAGAGTGCTGCTAGGAAAGATGTAACTGGGTATCTGAGGGTCTCAAGAATGGAAGGCTACCTTGGGGAACCATGAAGAGTACATTTAGTAATAGGGCTCAATGATAGAGTGTTTGCCTACCCTACACAAGGCCCTGGGTTCAATCCCCTACACCACCAAAACAAACAAATAAATAAAATGTAAAAATAGGGCTGTCTTTGAGCCCACTAACTTCAGTCGCGTGTGGTGGTGGTGGTGAAACACACGAGGGTGCACTTTAAGAATAAACTCTAGCCAGGTGGTGGTGGCACATGCCTTTAATCCCAGCACTCGGGAGGCAGAGGCAGGCGGATCTCTGTGAGTTCTAGGCCAGCCTGGTCTACAGAGCAAGATCCAGGACAGGAACCAAAGCTACACAGAGAAACCCTGTCTCGAAAAACAAAACAAAACAAAACAAAAAACAAAGAATAAACTCTACAGGGCAGAGTAGATGTCTCCCTGGGTACCAGCACATATACAGGCATAAGAACCTGGTTTTGGATGCCAGCACCCACTTACAAAGCTGGTCTTTGGGCTGGAGAGATGGCTCAGCGGTTAAGAGCACTGGCTGTTCTTGCAGAGGACCTGGGGTTCAGTTCCCAGCTACCAGCATGGTGGCTCACAACCACCTGTAAATCTAGTCCCAGGAAACCCCACACTCCTTTCAGGTACTGCACACAGTACCTGAAATGTGATGCACAGACACGCAGGCAAAACACCAGTAAACATCAAATCAAATCAAATCAAAAGCCGGGTATAGCTACACAGGAGTGCTTGTAACCCCGGTGCCAACGAGGGGCGGAGACGGGAGGATCTATGGGGCTTGCTGACCATCAGCCTAGCTCCAAGTTCAGTGAGAGACCCCGCCTCAAAGGAGCGAGATAGAGAGGAGGGAATAGGACATTTGGTGTCTTCCATGCGTGCACTGGTGTGCACACATGTGCACCCATACATACGCAACACCCACACACACAAGAACCAACTGTAGCTGCCTTGTGGGTTAGACTGGCACGTTGGAACCTGAATGGTGCCCCGCATCAGTTCCCATCTGTGTGGCTGTCATCCCCTTTCCTGCCAACGTCTGAGTCTAAGCTGCTGCAGCGTGAAGGCCACAAGTGAGGGTTCCAAGACAGCTGCTCTCTCCATTGAGAGCCAAGCCCGGGACAAGAGTCAAAAAGGGCACCTGGCAGAGCTGCTTGAGAGGGTGTGGCCTCGTTCCTGGAGGCTGGGGACTGACTGATTTGGAGCACTTCACCGGGCCAGAGCTGTCCTCTGTTCAGAAAGCCTGGAAGTACTCGCTCCACTAGGGATCTGTCTGCCAGCCCTTGAATGTGCTTCCTCTGCCCCAGAGATAGCACGGAAACCCTGGGTGCAAGGGGCAGGGCTCCCAGGGAGTCAGAAGTGATAAGCTGCTCATGCCGGATAGAGTCCCACAGAGGAGCGTGTGTGCTCCTGGGATAAGGAGAGCGCCCTGCTAGGGCTGAGGACTGGCATCCCCCTTTGGTCTTGAGTTCCTCCTGTTCCATCTGAGAAAGTCTGGGGTGTGATTAAAGATCTTGTTCCCTCTCAACGTCTCTTTGTGAGAACAGCACCGGGAGGGGAGGTCTGGTTTATGTTGGAGGCTGGTTAAATCTCCTTTGGGGTTCCTGTTTTCCCCACTCTGCATCTGAGTCTCTCAGCTTCTCTCTTCCTTGCTCCCCACCCCCACCCCCACCCCACACTTATCTTCACAGCTTCTCCTACAATAGATTCCCTGCCCTCCCTCCCCTCCCCTCCACTTATCTTTATAGCTTCTCCTACGACAGATGCTCCTCCCCTACCCCCACTTATCTTTATAGCTTCTCCACCACTTCTCACATCTCTGGGCTTCCCAGTCCCTCTTTCCCACAACAGACTCCAAACCCACAATACATCTTACTCCGGGTCACTCCTCTACCTGCTGCTTCAAGACAGGAGACCACACCTTTTGTGGGTGACGTCACAGAACGATGTTACTCCCTTCCTTATGTTGTGCCCGGGGCCCCTCCAGCTTGGTGGCTGTTGGAAGCCAAGAGGAAGTAGAGTCACACCCTCAGCCCCACCCCCTCTCCAAGGTTTTCAGGGAATCCTTCAGGTGCCAGATGCCAGAGACACAGGACAGCAGGCCAAGCTTTCTGAGGCAGACATCACCAAGATCACCTGGTCTTGTGGGTGGGTGGGCTGTAGAGTTTACAAAGCAAAAAGCCAGGTTAAAGCTATTGCACCTTCTCAGGAACCAGGACCCCCATCTGCAATCCAACCCGTCTCCAGGCAACAATTTCCCATGCTCAGGCCCTCTGGGATTTAAACCTCTGTTGTTTCTTACCCAAGGTGGGCCAAGTGGATGTTCTCATAGACCTGGACTTCAGGTTTGAAGTGAGGAATTGAGGGTTCTGGGGAAAAGAAGCCGTATGATATGTAGAAGTCACCAGATAATTCAGGGATGTGTTCCTTGCCACCCCTCCCCTAGAGCCCAACCCTCTGCCTCACACCCACGTGGCATCTCTGGGGAAAGACTCACCTCTGTCCGGAGACCTCTGGGCCCTCCGCCTCCAGAGCACAATGCTGAGAACTATGATGGTGACTCCTTGGCCCGCTGTGAACAACAGCATCAGTACCCGGGACACATCCCAGCTCGGGACAGAGGCACAAACTATGGGAGAAGGTTCTGTGGAAGCTGCCACGACAGTAAGACAAGAATGACAGGTAGTGAGGGGGCCTGTCGCTGCTGGAAGGAAGTAGAACCATCCTGTGATGTCATCTACAAAAAGGTCTGGTCTCTTGTCTTGAGCAGCCAGTGGAGAGGCAGCCCTGAGTGAGACGTGGCTTCCGCCACAGTCCAGTGGGGTTTTACTACAGAAAATACTCAGGAGGCCCCTACCTACAGCATCCACTGCCCTGTGACTTTGCTTATGGACTCCAGGGGCCAACATCAGAGAGAGTGGCCCCAGTTCCCGTCACACAGGGACAGTTGATTCCAGGGCACATCCTAGCCATAACTTCTCTCACAAAAATTTACATTTTCAAGAAAAAGTAAAGCGTTGCAGCTGGGCACCATGATGCATGCCTGTAATGCCTGCACCTGGGAGGTTGGATATGAGAGGATAAGGGGTTGAGGTCATCTGCACAGGGGGCTGGAGGCCTGCCTGGGCTACATGAAAGCCTGTCTCAAAGCAGAAAAAAAAAAAAAAAAAAAAAAAAACAGGGGAAAGTTCAAGGCCAACCTGGTCTACGTAGTGAATTTCAGGCCAACCAGGTCTCCAAGGTGAGATACTACCATAAAAATCAAAAACAAAAAAAAAAAACACACACACACACACACACAAAAAAAAACACAAAAAAACCCACAAAAACAAAACAAAACAAAACAAAAAACCAAAACCAAAAACAAAAACAAAAAAAAAATCAAAAACAGCCGGGCGGTGGTGGCGCACGCCTTTAATCCCAGCACTCGGGAGGCAGAGCCAGGCGGATCTCTGTGAGTTCGAGGCCAGCCTGGTCTCCAAAGCGAGTTCCAGGAAAGGCACAAAGCTACACAGAGAAACCCTGTCTCGAAAAACCAAAAAAAAAAAAAAATCAAAAACAAAAAGACAGGGGCTGGAGAGATGGCTCAGTGGTTAGCATGCTTGCCACACAAGTATGAGGATGGGAGTTTGAATCCCCAGAACCCATGTAAACACTGGGTGGGCATGGTAGCCCACCTGTGATTCCAGCCTCTGAAGGCAGAGACAGGGGTCTCCGGAGCAAGCTGGCTAGTGAGACTAGCCTTATCAACCAGTCTGGGTTTGACTGAGAGACACTGCTTCACTGAATAAGATGGAAGAGCAACGGATTCCAGACATCGACCTCAGGCTCCGCATGCCTGCACACCCATGTACATGGGTACACACATATATGTGTACCCACACACATGCAAAGATGCATACAGGCATGCATCTCACACACATGAAAATGGAAAAAGAAAAACAAAAAGAACGCTTTGCAGTTTCCATCTCTTCAGCCCCTTATCCACCCATTCACGTATTCATCCTCTAGGCCTGGCCAAGATCTTTCTCTCATAGAACAACGGCCTTTTGCTCCTCTCTCTGACTTACAAATGGGTTATTCTACATCTAGTAACATTCATTCTCTGTATAGTGGCCTTCTATTTTGTATAACAATTATACACTTTCTGCTTCTGTCTTCCCAGTCAATAGGCCATTATATGACCCTATATGGGCCCCTTCTACAGAAGTCAGCATCCCCAAAATCCCTACGCACTTCCTCTCTGCTATGGAAGAGTCCACAGAAGTAATAGGTTAGTTAGTCTGTTTCTTTCGTTTGTTTTTGAGACAGGGTCTCATGCAGTCCAGACTGGCCTTGAACTCCTGCCTCAGCCTCCCGAGTCCTGGGACTGCAGGTGTGTACCACCATGCTTGGCTCATATACTGGCCTATTTCTTATCTTTCTTTTTTGAGCGGTGCCTCTATATAGCCGTAGTTGGCCTGAAATTTGCTATGTAGACCAGGCTGGCCTTGAACTCAAACACTGACAGCCTCTGCCTCCTGAGAGGTAGGATTAAAGGCACAGGCCTATGTCTTTTATTTTGATGCTTTTTTCTTTTTTTTTTTTTTTAAAGAAGCAGGGTCACATGCAGTGCAGGCCGGCTTTGAACTCACTATAAACCCAAGGCTGTCCTTAAACTTCTGATACTCTTTCTACCTCCCAAGTGCTAGGAGGCATGTGACACCATGCCCTGCTTAGATCAGCCTATTTCTTCCTGTGTGTGTGTGTGTGTGTGTGTGTGTGTGCGTGCACGTGTCTGAGGCTAAAGGTCAACCTCAGGTGTTATTCCTTAGGAGCTGTCCACCTTATTTGTGAGACAAGGTCTTTCACTGGCCTGGAACGCACAATGCAGTCCAGACTATCTGGCCTGAGAGTCCAGGGGTCCATCTGGCTGTCGTCTCCCTAGTGTCGGGGTTACAGGCATGCATTACCATGAATGGCTTTTTTTATGTGGCTTCTGAGTTCAAACTCGGATTCTAATGTGTGTGTTACATCACTTTAGTTAGCAGAGCTCTCTCTTCACCCCTAGACTAACCCCTTTCTAAACAGTGGTATATCCCTCCAAAGTAGGTCCTGGTCTGGCCTGTTCCTCCAGGAAGTTGGTTTAATCAACCCTTCTTTTTTTTGTTGTTGTTGTTTTTTTTTGTTTTTTTCCGAGACAGGGTTTCTCTGTGTAGCTTTGGTGCCTGTCCTGGGTCTCACTCTGTAGACCAGGCTGCCCTTGAACTCACAGAGATCCACCTGGCTCTGCCTCCCGAGTGCTGGGATTAAAGGCGTGCACCACCACTGCCCCGGCTAATCAACCCTTCTTTATGGTAGATTTGGTCAATGAAGTGGGAAAAAAACCCTTCTCCTACAGGGAAGTGACTCTCAGCCTGGCCTGATTTGCCTCCTTTTTCAACCTTGAGAGATGTGCCAGAGAGAACCCCTTTCTGCTTCTTTATTCCCTCCCTCATTTTACCTGCCAGACTAAAGCTGAATCTTTTGTTCTGAGGCATAAGGCATCGGATGTTCCTCGGCCTGCGGCCCCTGGTCTCAGGAAGCCCCTCTCCAGGACACACCAATAGCAGGGCAGCCCCATCTCCCCAAAAGTACTGAGCGTGTCCTCTCACGGGATTCCTCCCCTCTAGCCAGGTCACAGAGTCCAGACGCCTGGCGGGGACCACAGAGCACAGGAGGGCAGAGCAAGAGGGGCCATCTGGAGACTTCACAGAGAACTGGGATCCTGGCAAGAGATGGGGACACCTCAGTTTCTTGTGTGGTCTTCCCTAGTCTCCAGAGTCCAGAGAGGTCTTCGCACCCCACTCACCTTTGAGCACGGAGACATCGTACACCCTCCAGTTCTGGTACTTGTGGTTCTGATCCATCACAGTGCACCAGTACCGCCCAGCATCTTCATCCCTGGACCCCTCCAGCAATAAGGAATAGTTCCCAAGAGGTTTGAACCTTGAATCATTTTCAGGTTTCCCCAGATCTGAGACTGGCCTGTCTACTTGGATCTGGGTCACCAAGATGGTGGAGGAGCCTTCTGCAGGGCTGCGGAACCAGGTTAGGAGCTGGCCCCCACGTAGGGAGGGTGGTGAAGGACACGGCAGCTCCACTGACTCCCCTGAGACCACATAGACGGTCTGGATGCTGTCTGTGGAGAAACGGTGATATCACTAGAGCTGTCCATGCCTCCAGCAAGGCCCTGCTTTACCTCTAACGCCTGCCTTCCTTTCCTTCTGGGGTCTCCAAGCACTGGTTTAGCTGGTGAACACATTTCTCAAGTGACTGCTAAGAGGAAAGGGACGAGGGCTGGGGTATAGCTTAGTTGGTTAAGTGCTTGCCTGAGGTCTTGGGTTCCATACCCAGCACTGAAAGAGAACAAAAGCCTCTCACAGACTGGGAATGTGGCTCAGGGCTCAGCTCGCAGAATGCTTGCCTGGTGTGCATGAAGCGCTGACCCTGGTCCCCGCACGGCATAAACCCATAAACTTAGCATCCTGGTGCACGCCTGGGATCCAGCCATCCAGAGACAGGAAGATCAGAAGTTCGGTGTCATCCTCAGCTGCTTAAGGAGTTCAAGGCTACCCTGGAATACCTGAGTCCCAGGAAGAGTGAGGGTGGGGTGGGGATGGTGGGGTAAAGAATGTAAAGGCTTTCCATTTTTCCTTGCCAATGAGAGGCTCTGAGTCAGGACAGAAATAGGCTGCAGTGGTTGGTGAAAGCCCTTATCTCTTTAAACATCTGCTCATCTTTTATTTTCTGCAGGGAACTAAGCCAGGTATGATAGCACGTGCCTGTAATACCAGCACTCGGGAGGCTGAGGAAGGAGGGTTGCAATATACAGGAAACACCAGGCCAGCCAAGGCAATTAATAAACAATGCCCTGTCTCCAAACAAACAGGTAATAAAAAAAATAAGGAAAACTGTAAGATGGGTGTGGTGGCACACACCTGTAGTCACAGCATTCAGGAGGCAGAGGAAGGAGGGATGCTTGAGCTGAGTGTTCAAGACCAGCCTGGACTGCTGGGCGTTTTCTTACTGATCTGACAAGAGAGCTGGCTAAAGGAACTTAAGAGGATAAGATTTGTTTATTTTTACTTATTATTATTATTATTATTATTTGGTTTTTATGAGACAGGGTTTCTCTGTGTAACAGCCTGGCTGTCCTGGAACTCACTCTGTAGACCAGGCTGTCCTTGAACTTAGAGCTCTGCCTGCCTCTGCCTCCCGAGTGTGGGGATTAAGGTGTGCACCACCACTTAGATTATCTTGGCTCACAGTTTAAGGAACACAGGCCATCATAGTGGGAAGTTTATGGTGGTAGAAACATGCTTACATCTGGATGGACTTAGGAGCAGAAAGAGGGGACTGCCTATGCTCTACTGGCTTTATCCTTTCCCCATTTTTATTGAGTCTAGGACCCCAGCCCACTTGATGGTGCCACTGACATTTTAGGTAGCTCTCCCACCCTCAGTTAAAACTCTCTGGAAATGCCCTCACAGACCTGCCTAGAGATATGTGTGCTGGAAGATTCACCACCACAACCACATAGCAAGACCCTCATCTTGTATCCTCAAATCGACTATGTAGCTGAGAATTACCTGGATCTCCTGGTCTTGCTGTCTCCCCTCAAATTCTGGGATGACGGGCATAGCACCCCCATTTATGTGGTGATAGGGATCAAACTCTTGGCAGGAGATGAACTGAGAGCTCTGAGTGCTAGGCAAGAACTCTCTGAGCTACACCCCCAGACCTAATACTTATATTTTCCAAAATACAGGGAACTGTATATAACTAGGACCATGGTGCCGCTGGGTCTCTCCAGGACTAAAAGCAAAGAGAATTCAAATAAAGTAAGTCTGTCTTCTTGAGTCATGTGCATTTTCAGAAGTGCTATGGAGAAAAAAAATAGCAGTCCCTCCCAACTTTTCAAATAGCTGCAGAATCCCCCACCTCCTGCCCCTTACCTGCAGCAGCCTGGGGGTGCCCACACAAGCACAGGAGGAGGAGGAGGGCAACTGTGACTGCCATGGGGAGAGCCTGCCAAGTTCTCCTGCTCCAAAGACCTGGTGTTTCCAGGGAGGAAGCAGAGCCCAGATAAAGGCCCACACTCCACTGGGCCTCTGGGGGAATGAGAATGTGGGGGAGATAAAACTCAGTTGCATGTCTTCTGGGGGAAAAGGAACCTTTTATCGTTCAGTTCTTGGAGTCAGGTCCTGGTGCAAGCTGCTCCTGGGTAAGGAATCCCAGATGTCTACCTCTTCTCAGCCTAGAAGCTTTCTGTGGCTTCTCGTCTATCCCCGAGACCTCGACCGTGAGCCAAATGACTCTGCCTGTTCTCTCCTTGGAACCCAGCACAAAACTGTACATCCAGGCAGTGCTCCCTAAGTGATCCAAATGACCTTTCCTGTGGTTACCTGGCATCCCATTGACTGCTCCGGGACCCCTGAGGAGTGTCGTTAGCTGTTACTCAAGGGGAAACACAGCAGGGGTCTGGATTATTCACAGGTGCCTAGATTCAGAGGCAGACCTTTATACATACCTAATTATTTATAGTTAGTTAGTTAGTTTGTTTGTTTGTTTTGTTTTTAGTCCGAGTTTCAAGTTGTCCAGGTTGGCTTCAAAACCACTTCGTAGTTAGGGATGACCTTGAATTCTTTTTTTTTTTTTTTTTTTTTTTTTTTTTTGGTTTTTCGAGACAAGGTTTCTCTGTGTAGCTTTGCGCCTTTTCCTGGAACTCACCTGGTAGCCCAGGCTGGCCTCAGACTCACAGAGATCCGCCTGCCTCTGCCTCCCGAGTGCTGGGATTAAAGGCATGTGCCACCACCGCTCCGGCGACCTTGAATTCTTGATCCCCTACTTCTACCTCCCAAGGTGAGGTGAGGGGACAGGCATGCATCGTTATGAATAGCTAGTTACTTATTTCAAAGATAGGGCAAGTTCCTTGTCACTGGGGATATTGTCAGCCATTTAGTTATTTTCTTTTGGGCTCGTGGGGTGGCTCTCAATGGATACAGGCCTTCGCCAAGGAGCCAAACAACCTGAGCTCAGTCCTCAGGATCCACACGGGGGACGGAGAGAACTGCGTCCCCAGAACTGTCCTCTGACTTTCACGTACAATGTGCTGACTAGTTTTTTGCTATTTATTTATCTTTATTTTACATCCCAACCACAGTTTTACCTCCCTGTTCTTCTCTCATCCCTGCCCGCTGCTCCCCAACTTCACTGGCTAGCTTTTAATGTCAACTATACACCCTAGGGCCCTGTGGGAAGAATGATTTTTTTTTTTTTGAGACAAGGTTTCTAGTATAGCCCTGGCTGTCCTAGAACTCACTCTGTAGACCAGGCTGGCCTCAAACTCAGAGATCCACCTGCCTCTGCCTCCCAATTGCTGGGATTAAGTGTGTTTGCCTTCACCCGGCTTGCTTCTTGAATTTCTTCCTTCAGTGATGGAAGTAGAAGGGACGTGGAAGTAGAAGATGAAATAAACCCTTTCCTCAGGCTACTTCTGGTCATGGTGTTCATCACAGCAATAGAAACCCTAACTAAGCCAGGTATGGTGGTATGCGCCTTTAATCCCAACACTCAAGAGGCAGAGGCAGACAGGTCTCTGTGAGTTAGAGGCCAGCCTGGTACAGGACAGCCAGATCTACATAGTGAGATCCTGTCTCAAGAACAAACAAACAAAACAAAGGGGGGGGTAGGGGCCCTAACCAAGTGTCCTAGTTAGGGTTTCTATTGCTGTGATAAAACCCCATGACCAAAGCAATTTGGGGATGGAAGAGTTCATTTGGCTCACACTTCACATCACAGTTCATCATCAAAGGAAGTTGGGACAGGAACCCAAGCAGGGCAGGAACCTGGAGGCAGGAGCTGATGCAGAGGCCAAGGAGGAGTGCTGCTTACTGGCTTGCTCCTTTTCATTATACATCTGCACAAGAGTGACCACTAACAACCACAAGACAGAGTCAATACCAGGCTGTCTTGAAATCTCCTTTGCCAATGCCATTAATCCAAAACTCTAGGACATGCAGACTGTGTGCACATGTGGACACACACACATACAAAAAAAAAATTTTTTTTTAATTTGAAAAAGAGCTAGTGTGGTGATGAAACACGCGTTTAATCCTAGCACTTTGAGACAGGGTCTCTCTATGTACCCGACTGGCCTAGAACTCACTATGTAGACCAGGGTGGCCTGGAACTCACAGAGAACCATCTGTCTCTGCCTCCTGAGTGCTGGGATAAAAGAAGTGTGCCATTACACCTGGTGGATTACCTCTTTCAATAACTTTTTAAATTATTATGAATTCTTCATAATAATCCTGGTATTTCTTCTAACAGCTATATCCCCGTGACTGGCTCTCTGTGTGTCTTTGTGTCTTTCTTTTGTGTGTGTGTCTGTGTGTGTCTCTCTCTGTGTATGCATCTGTCTGTCTGTCTCTGTGCGTGTGTGCTTGTGTGTGTGTGTGTGTGTGTGTGTGTGTGTGTGTGTGTGTGTGTGTGTGTGTAATCCCAGGGCTTTCAGCATGGTAGGCAAGTACTCTACCACTGAGCTACATCTCCAGTCGCTAGACTCTAGAGCATGCTGACATTAAGAGTTGGGGGGGGATTTAATCACGCCGGGACGTTTTTTAACTCTCCACGTTCAGAATGCCTCTGGCTAATCCTTGCACGTCGCAGCACCTTAGGTCCAACTGCGCGGAACCCTCCTCTCGCGGCGCGAACGTCCGGCCGGACCCGGCCACGGGGAAGAGCCGGTACGTGCTGACGTCACGCACGCAGCGCCTCGGAGGCCGAGGGCGGGGCCGGCGGGGACCTGAGGCCGAGGAGCAGCGGCCCGATCCCGGGCCATGGCGAAGCTGCTGAGCTGCGTCCTCGGCCCCCGGCTCTACAAGATCTACCGGGAGAGGGAGACGGATCGGGCCGCGTCCAGCGTTTCTGAGCCTCCCACTGCCGTCCCCGCCCCCTCCTCCAGCTCCTGGGTGAGTCGAGTCCCCCCCCGGCTGGGAACATGGTGCGGTCCAAACCGCGCGGGTCCTCCGCGGCCCGGACGCGTCCACTGTCGGAAGCGGGGGAGGCCGCTTGTCAAGCGGCGGCCGCGCAGTCCGCCTGTGGGCGCTTCCCCGCTCCCGGTCACGCTGGGCCGGCCGTCGCCTCCCTTCACGGCTTTGGAGCAACTCCTGCTCACTCCCACCACTAGTGCTTGCTGTCCCCCTCCGCGTCCTCCGACCCTGCCCGTCAGGGTTCATGGCTGGTCCCAGTTGAGCCTGGAGTCGCCTGCGCGCTGACGGCTTTTGCCCATAGACTCCCAATTTCTTCCTCCCCTAGGCTCTGTTGACTTTCTCTTTAACCTGACTTTTCATTTTCAAAATGACTTCTACATGTTATGTATCCACTTGTGCAACTCGAACCCACAGACCTAGCCTGAAGACCAGGGTCGTTGCGTTCACCACAGCTGCAGGTGGTGGAGGTCCACCCTCCAAACATTCTCTTCCCTTTTTATTGGTTGCAAATTATGTTTAGGAGCTTTTCCAAGTGCCCACACCTAGCCAAATTCTTCCCGAATCAACTTATGTCAAATGCTATTCCTTCAGTCTTAGAATTGTCAGGGAGTCTTTCATTTCCACTCTTAACCTCTCCCCATATACACACACAATCATATTTATTTCGGGGTTTTGGAAAAATGAGTCGGTCTCCCAAATGCTGCTTTCACTTTTGTTTCCAAGTCCAGCACCATGTGATTGTTTTTCAGGGTCAGAGGTGAGAAGTCAGGCTCAGTGTTTGTAGAGGCCAGGAGTATCCCAAGAGAAATGGCCAGGGAGGCGAGAACGAGGAGGCACACGTTAGGGCTTCTGGAAGGAAGGGAGGGCCTGTCAGCTGGCAGGGTCCTTAACAGGCCATCTGTTTTGGCAGGATACATATTATCAGCCCTATGCCCTGGAGAAGCATGCTGACAGGATCCTGGCACTGGTAAGTCCGCCCTACATCTGCGGGTTGCTACTCCTCTGCAGCCTGGGAGAAGGCAGCACCCCAGGAGGTGGGGGGGGGGGTGCTCTGAGCTCTGTGCAGAAGAACTTGCTAACACATACACACCAGCATACAGTTGGTATTCCCTCTTGGGAACTCCCCCTTTATGTTCCATAAGCTTTTTCTGGAGCAGTTTGAGCCCTGAGGATAATATGTTTACCCTTGGGATCATCTGCAGGTCTCTGAGCCTGCAGTCCCTGGTGACCTGTCCTCCCTGGCAGTTAACCCCTCTGGCTGCAGAGGCAGCTGTTCTCTCTGGCAGAGTTCCTATGGTGACGTTTTTGCATTCCTTGGGGACAAAGTCTAGGACTCTCTTGAGTGGGGCCAGCTATGAAGGCTTGATTAACTGGAGTAGACAGAGAGGCTGGTGTTTTCAGTGTGACGAAATTATGTCAGCCTCCACTGTGCTCTGACACACCACCTGCAACAGATGTTTGCGTCCCTGCTGTGTGCATGACGTCATGAACAGAGCAGTTGCTTAGCGTGTGGACTCCAGGTCCCCCGCAGAGCCTGGATAGGCAGCACAGTGTGCGCACAGGCGTATTGATTGCCTGTCTCCATCTCTGCTGCAGGCCTCAGTCTTCTGGTCCATCTCTTATTACTCCTCTCCCTTCGCCTTCTTCTACTTGTACAGGAAAGGTCAGTGTGCTTTCAAAAGTGGTGGGGGAGGAAGTGGGCAGCTCACTGGCAGACGAATCAACTCCCCAAAGAGGAAGGGGTCCTGTGAGGATGGCTTGACTTCCCTCTTAAACCTGGAGTCTTCCCCCCAAGACAGTGGTTCTCAACCTTCCTGACGCTGAGACCCTTTAACACGGTTCCTTATGTTGTGGTGACCCACAACCATGAAATTATTTTTGTTGCTACTTCATAACTAATTTTGCTCCAATTCAAATGGTGATGTAAATATTTTTGGAGACAGAGGCTTGCCAAAGGGTTCACAACCCATAGGTTGAGAACCACTGCTCTAAGAAAATGGCTAAGCCAAAGAGAGGGTCTGGGATAGAGGTTGTGGGCAAA